GTTATCTTTTAAGATTAATACTTTCCGGGAAGTCTATAAGCTTCCATACAATATAGAGATTATAATTTTATTTATTTATTTATTTCTTTCATGATCTATATTTGTATTTTAAGAATTGTAATATTATTATTTAAAGAATCAAATTCGAATAAAATAAAGATAACTTTTTAATTTAATAACAATTAAATTACCTGTTCATTAACATTGTTTAAATAATTAAGTGATAATTATTTGAACGTTTACAACTCATCACTTAAAAATATTGCTAAATTTCTGTGCAGTCAAACTAAAAAAACTAGAAGATAATGAATTGAGTAAGAAATTATAATTTAATGTATTTTTTTTAGGATCCATATTTTGATGAAAAACTTGAAAATATAATTGTGAATGAATCTTTATCCAAACACTGATTAATAATATGAAAAATTATAAGGCCAAAAGGCTATTATTAATCTATGAGTAAAAAAGTGGATGTATTACATCAAAAGGTCATTAAATTTAAAAAAATCCATGAAAAAAAAATTCGAGACAAATCTTTTTTACATATATTGTCTCCCTTTTTAAAGCCGAATTGAATGGTGGTGATTTTTAAAATCCAACATATGGATCACATGATATTTTAAAAGTTTAAACTTTTGAGTACAATCCATAGACTTTTTATTTTGATATACGGATCTTCCAGTTTAGAGGTTGGCGCCGTTAATCGTTTGACCGGTTAATTTAACTGGCTAACCATCAATCTTGGTGTTACAAATTTTTATATAACTAGAAATAAATACATACGAATAAAGATAATCTATACAGTTGGCGCTCGATATAGTGAACACACTATATAGCGAATAGTACGATATAATGAGGTTGGAAAATTTCACTATATATATAAATAAGGTATAAACTCTCTTATATAATGATATAGTGAAGTTTTTTTTTGTCAAAACCAATTCTTTCTTATACCAAGCGCCGACTGTAATGATGAAATAAATATGGATGTGTAATGCTACTGCCGCTAGAGTTTCCGACTTTTCTAGAACCCTTTCTTTTGGGTGACTAGGGTAATACAAGTTCTTATCCGAATTATTTGTAATATATCTCAATCGAATTTATTCATTTTATTCGAATAAACTTTCAATGTAATTGGATGCTCAACTTCATAACGAATATAACAAACAACTTTTATTCGAATAGAAACCTCTCTATTACTATTATTGGCGGAAAAAATAAATAAATTAATATTATTATTATCACTATAAGAGCTACGAAAGAAAAATAGAACAGACAAAGAAAAATTTTAATTGGATTGGGTAGTGCATGTTAATATTAATATTATTCGAATGATTCGAAAATTTTCATGTAGTTAAATTAACCGGTTAGCCGGGTTAAACTCCTAATTTTCACCAGTTAAAGAATTTTTTTGCGCGGTGCCAACCTTTAGTGCAGTTGAGTGTATTTTTATAAATCTGCTGTGTTACTGACATAGGGGGTATCGGGCATCCCCCAAGCAATTTTGAACCCTGGATTTACTTTGTTCACTTTAAATTGGATTGAAATGGGTAAGTTCGCATATGCAAGACTTACCATTATTCAAAAAATTGCGTGTGACGATCATTTGATAGTGAGTGACATTTGTCCCCTATAATCTATGTATATAAAAAAATCATTACATATTTAATTAAAAATTTTTTTTCTTTTTTTATATTATTTTTGACAACGACAACCTAAATATATCATATATCTATTACTATAACAATAAAAAACTATTATTGTTGTATGTATTATACTATAATAATAAATAAATATATTTTTTTGAAAGAAAAAAAATGTCATTTCCAAATTCAGAGAGTATGTATCGATATCCAGAACAAATGCAACACGATGACCTTTTAACTGAACAAGATCAAAAGTTCATTACAGATTTTTTTAACACCCTTGCAACCGAAGAGCCACCAAGTCATATGATGGATTATACAAACAACCACAATGCTCCTCCAGCCTCTAATCTTTCTTTTCAAGGTAAAATTATATAGTTTTTTTATTTTATTTAAAACTATCCACAAATACTTAAATATATTTTTACATTGTATTATATTAAATATTATTTACATGCACAAATTAAAACGACATAGATGTAGCACCTATACCAGTAACTAGAATGTATCCAGGGATAGGAAATGGTGGTGTTGGTGGTATTGTTAATGGTATGGGAATGGGTGGCATTACAATTATTAATAATAATAATAATAATAATAGCAATAATAATGGATTTGAATCAAACTCGGGATATGTTGGTAGTGGTGGTGGTGGTGGTGGTGGTGGATATGTTTATCAACAACAACAATCTATTAATAATAATCCAAATACTATGTCATTACCGCCAGCGAATAATGGATATTCTTTACAACCACATCAGCCACATTATCAACAATTACCAATTCAGCATCATCACACTAATAGTAATCATCACCATCATAATAATAATGACAATAATTATATACTACAACAGCAATCGCAATATCATAATGATGGAATTATTCATAACAATAACTCTCTGATAAAAAATAAATCTTTTAATAATAATAACAGTAATAATAATAATCAATCAAATTTATATATAAAATCTGAGCCGGTTACAAGCAATAATGATAATGATAATATTAATAATAGTAATGATAATAACAATACAAATAATATAAATGCAAATGATATAAACACAAATAATATAAACACAATAAATAGAAGACCAAGATCACCTACACCCACTACAAAATCAAAACAATTTCCAAGACGTACAATTTCTAAAAGACAAATATCGAAAAATTCTATTGATATGAAACCTGATGATATAAGCAGTAATAATGACAACAACAATAATAATACCAATAACAACAACGACAACAACAATAATAATACTAATAACAATAACAACAATAATTCTATATCGTCATCACAATTACCCTCTTCAACGAAACCTACATCAACGACATCAATATCAACCAAATCCTCTTCCTCGTCAACATCAACACCTAATTCTCCAAAAATTTCATCAACTTCAGACTCAAATAATAATAATAATAACAATCATAATGATAATAATAACAATATACATTCATCTCCATCATCACAAATAAATTCAACGTCACCACCAACTTCAACTTCTTCTATGCATAATCGTGGAGGAAGAGGTAAGAAGGGTCATCATGAATTATTAACAGAAGCAGAGAAGAAAGCAAATCATATTGCTTCCGAACAAAAAAGAAGACAAAACATTCGTTTGGGCTTTGATCAGTTGGTTGAAATTGTCCCAACACTTAGTCAATGCCATCGTAGTGAAGCACTAATCTTACAAAAATGTAAACTTAAACTTTTAATTAATTATAATAAAATTTAACTTTAATTAACTTATTTAATTATTAATTAATAAATAAATTAATTTAATTATAGCTGTAGAATATATTCAACAACTTTTGATGCAAAAAAATGAATTAAAAGATCGAGTCAAATCTTTACAAGTAACATTAGGAGATCCGTAAGTAGCAAATTAGATGTTTAATTTACTCTAAAAAAAAATTAAAAAAATTAATCAATTAATTAATTCATCATATACCCATATCTGTATCTATTAGACCAGATCATGTGGATGATTCTGTGAGTAAAAAAAATTTATTTATTTAATTTAAAAAAAAATCTTTTTTTTTCAAAATTTAATAATTATATTATTATTTTTCAACAGTCTTCTGATGGTGAACTAGATCTTATATTTTGAATATTTTATGATTATTTACAATCGTATAATAACTCTGTTTTTATTTATTTATTTTATTTTATTTTAATTTTCCCAACAAGTTTTTTTTCCAAATGATTTTTTTGTTTTTATTGTCATGTTATATTTTATTTTGTATAATAAAAATTTATTTTTATTAACACGTAAAAAATGTATTAGTGGGAATGTGATACAAATATAAATAATACCCGTTAAAGTTGTTGAGTATCAAAAACCCAACTACCCAAGTAAGATTACCTTCAGGTTTTTATTGACAATAATTTACATTTTTGTTTTGTGCACATAATTCTTTGTTCCTTTTCAATTGTTTTTTGGGGATTTTGGCACATGTGTTTTCAAGAGGTTGGGCCTTCTTAGCAATGCCCCTGTATAAATTTTTTAATATTGCACAATTCGGGCACGACGGACCATGGGTTTCTGAAATTCACTTTGTCCACCTCCATTTCGATTTTTTTGATTGTATACATAGATAAATCTATTTACTTTAATTTGTACAATAGTTTTTTTCTTTTCTTTTTAATTGCGTTCCAAGACACGTTCAAGTCTAAGGATGTTTTCCTTGCAGAATGCCAAGGAAATAAAGGAAATAAAGGAAATAAACCCAAGAAAGTGATGATTCCTACAAAAATTGTTGCACTTAATTCGCAGATCATTTATCAACCAGGGAACTTTCAATAATAATAAAATTTCGGGGCACATTTACTAATTAAAAGAAATTTGTTAAATTGTTATGTAACATAACCTATACCAAAACAATAGAAAAAATGGCAAAAAAACATGGAAATCCAAAAAAAATTTTTATTTAAAGTTGGTAGTCGCCATTAGAAGGTTTTGGATTAATATTTGATATATGTCTATAAATTTTTTTCTAAATAAAACTACTCTTTTAGCATACACCATGACATAAGCGTACTCGTTTATGAACTATGTGAACTTCCATATTGAAGGGACTTACTTCTTTGTTGGAAATGAATCATAATGAAATAACACCACATAAAATAATAGATTTTTTTTGTTTTAATGTTTGAAATTTGTATAGTCGCCATTTTGAAAAATAAGAAATTTATTATATCTTAGCCCTGCCGATCTTATATGTATATATATATATAATTCCTTGGTTGATAAATGATTTGCGAATTAATAAAAAACCTAGAAATTATGCGCACATAAATTGATATTATTAATTAATTTTTAATTCCTTTTATTTACATTTTAGAAATTACTACCTCTTATAAATTCTGTGTTACGTGTGTACCTTACTACAAAAGACATTTAATTTGCTACGATTCACGTTCTTTCTCTCTACACCATTCTACAACTGTTTGGTCCTTTATACACACAGTCCTTTAATTTTTACCTGAAATTTGAGCTTTTTATTTAAAATTCGTTCGAATTAAAACAAACTTTACTATTACATATATTTATCGTTCTTTTATTTTTATTTATTTTTTCAAAATTAATTTTTTAATTTTTTAATTTTTGAACATAAACCATGTCGAACGAAATTAAGGTCTCTTCAACTGCTACTGGTCTTACCTCATCTAGTGAAACAACAAAGTCAAGTATTAGCTCTATTGTTAACAATAATAATAGTAGCTCATCTTTCAATGCTACTACCGTCACAGCTAATATAGACCAACCTGATGACTCTAACAATGAAAAACAAGCTCGTAGAAAACAAAATCGTCAAAGCTTGAAACAACCTCTTAATAATGGTTATGATAACAATAAAGAGTCTAAAGGAAGTAATAATAAGAATGGTAATGATGATAATAGTGAATTGATTTTGATGTTGCAATTATTTGAAATTGATAATGATAAAAAAAATCTAATTATGATTCTTCATCCTTTTCTTTGCTAATACAGATCAACAACAATTAAAAAATAAAGATGATGATGTTTCTGAATCAATTAGTGAACATAGTAAATCTAATAATGTTATCAATATTTTTAATAGTAGTAGTAGTAGTAATAATAATAATAATAATAATAATAATGATAATAATGTACCTGATTCCCTCAAAAAATATAAAATTCAAAACCAACTTAACTTTAATTATAATAATAGTAGTAGTAATAATTATAACAATAATGAGAAAGGATTTCACCGCCGTGGTAAATCTTTAGCTCATGTTGGAGAACTTCAAAGTTTCTCTTCCTCGTTTAATTCTAACAATAGACCTAATAAAATTAGTAAAGATGATTCAGAAAATAAATCTGAAGCTTTAGAATCTTTACAACAAATGATTGCTAGTCTTAAAAATTTACCTGCTGTTCCTTCAAAAAATCAAAATAATAATAAAAAAGATTCTGAGAATAACAACAATAGCAATAGCAACAACATCAATAACAATAATAATAACAACAACAATAGTTATAATGACCCTTCAAAACATAAAAGATATGAATCAAGCACAGGTAGCATTGGAAGAAAACCTAATATTAATAAACATAAAAAAGGTGCATCGGTATCTTTCTTTTTTCCCTCTGCAAACGCGTCAACATCTATAAACTCTATTCAAGATCCTGATGACGGTAGCAATAAACCAATGAACATCGAGAATGCATTGCAAGATACTCTTACTTCTTTGAGACGTATGAGTCAAGATAGAGGAAAAGCTCAAAAAGAGTCTGATAAAAAATATGATGCTGATGATGCTGAAAATGATGAAGATATAAGATCTAAAAGAAAAAAGGGTATCAGCAATAATCAAAATAGCAACAATAATCAAACTAATAATTACAACAACAACAACAATAATAGAAAATCGAATCTTTCTTCTTCTGATGAAGTTATATTATATGGTGGTATTGATAGAAGATCATCACTATCATCCACTGATCAAGATCCCACTTCTCCAAAATCTCCTTTTGATTTTAAAAGATTGAATGATGAGCATAATCATCAACAACAACAACAATCCTCTGCCAAAAATTTACATCGTCGTCATCAATCTCTTGGTTTTAATTTATTCACTACTACTTTAGCTAACGCTAATACCAACCCTCCTCCTATATTTCCTGTAAAATCTCTGGTAGAAAGTCATGGTCGTAGACATAGTGTTGCTCTTAATAATAACAAGGATATTTTGAAAGAACTTGAAAAAAATCAAACTCGAACAATAGGCGCTGATGGAAAAGGTCATCGTAGAAATAATTCTAGAAATTTTGAAAGCAATTGGAGATCAAGTAAGTATAAATATAACATATATATCTTTATTAAATATGTGAAATTATATTCATTATCAATATAAATAATAAAATACTCAGCTGCCTCGCCCCTTTCTGTCTTAGCTCAACCATTCAATCAATTCCAAACTCTTAATAAATTTGGTGGTGGCTTAAATCAAAAAAAGCAACAAAGTCAACAAAATTCTAACCAACAACAAAGAAAATCTCTTTTTGCTCCTTATCTTCCTCAGGCCTCTCTTCCCTCCCACATCAAAGCTGGTGAACTTGTATATGGTGTTTTAAGAATCAATAAACGAAATCGTTCTGATGCCTATGTGACCACGGAAACTCTTGATACTGATATTTATATATGTGGTTCCAAGGATAGAAATCGTGCTTTGGAGGGTGATATAGTTGCTGTGCAATTGCTAGATCCGGAAAAAGTATGGCAAACTAAAAAAGAAAAGGAAGAAAAGAAGCGTAAGAAAGAAGAAAGTGCTGGTATAGATAAAAAAAAAGTTGATAAAAAGAAAGATGATGTCGAGGTTGAAGGACAAGGTTTATTATTATTCGAAGATGATGAAATTATCACAGATGATCAACGACCAAAATATTGTGGTCATGTTGTTGCTGTCATGGAAAGAATGCCTGGGCAAATGTTTTCTGGTACACTTGCACTCTTACGGCCTTCTTCTTCTGCTACAAAAGAACGCGAGGCTGCTGAAAGAGCTCGTCGTGAAGCTGAAGATAGAGCAAATGGTATTGAACCAAAATTTGAAGAACCAAAAGATGATAAAAGGGATGAAAGAATTGAACGTCCTAAAATTGTTTGGTTTAAACCTGTAAGTAATTAGTTGATAGATAGATTGATTGTTATTCTAACTAATTGTTATTTCCCTTCCATTTTATTATATTCCATTCTCTTTAATTTCATTACATCTACACTATATTTATATAGACCGATAAACGTGTTCCTTTGATTGCCATTCCAACCGAACAAGCACCAACAGATTTTGTTGAGAGACATCAAAGTTATGCACAACAATTATTTGTTGCATGTATCAAACGTTGGCCGATCACGTCTCTTCATCCCTTTGGTACGCTGGTGACACAAATTGGTGAAATTGGTAATATAGATGTTGAAACACAGGCTCTTATCAGAGACAACAATATCTCAACTGAGGAATTCAATGAGAATGTGTTAAAATGTCTGCCACAAACACCATGGACTATTCCTGAAGAGGAGATTGAGATGCGCCGTGATCTACGCTCAATTCGTATCTTTACAATTGATCCATCGGGTGCCAAAGATCTTGATGATGCCATATCATGTACTCGATTGCCTGATGGAAATTATGAAATTGGGGTCCATATTGCTGATGCTAGTTATTTTGTTAAACCAAATTCTGTACTTGATCGCGAAGCCCGTAAAAGGGCCACATCTGTTTATTTGGTTCAAAAATATATTCCAATGTTGCCTAATTTATTGTCTGAAGACTTGTGTAGTTTAGTTTCTGGTGTTGATAGGTAAATTGATTGATTGATTAGTCGATTGAATAATTTATTAGTCATTGTTGCTGTAATGATGATAATAATAATTATCATTCTTTATGCATTTATTAATTTACTAAATATATATATATATATATATAAATTAGACTTGCATTCTCTGTTTTTTGGACAATCACTCCTGAAGGAAGAAGCTCAAATACACAATTTTCAAAAACTATTATCAGATCTTGTGCAAAATTATCATATGATGATGTGCAAGAAATAATCGATGGAAAACCATTAAATCCTAATGTTAATATTCACAATGGTTATTCTGCAAGCGAAATTGAAGCTGATATTAGAGCATTCCATGTAAGTAGTCACTTTCAAATTTAAACCATAATAATTAAATAATATGCCTATTCTTTTTATTGATATCTTTTTGTATTGTAAATAGGACCTTTCTCAAAAAATGCGCGAATTACGTCACAAACGTGGAGCATTGTCATTAAATTCAGTCAAACTTACTTTTGATATAGATGAAAATGAAAATCCAATCGAATGTCATGTTTACAAATATAAAGAAGCCAATTGTATTGTTAAAGAATTCATGTTACTTGCTAATATAAGCGTGGCACAGAAAATCTCTAGTTCATTCCCAGAACAAGCATTGTTAAGACGTCATGCTGCTCCTATTGAACGTAGACTTGTATGTAAATTTTTTTATTTTAAGGAAGAGATTTTTGGGGACAGTAAAATAGTTATTTTTTAATAACAAAGCTTTTTATTCTTTGTTTAGAATGATTTCCTTGAACATGCAACTAGATTTGGTTATAAAATTGATATTTCATCTGCTTCAGCTTTGCAAAGATCATTTAATACAGTTGATAATGAAGACGCAAGAAAGGTTATCATTTATTTATTTACTATTAATACTAATATTAATATTAATAAAAATAAAATAATAAATCTAATACTCTTTTATAATTATTTATTAATTAAGGTTTTGGAACTTCTTGCTATTAAACCATTACAAAGAGCCAAGTATTTTTGTACTGGCACATTAGATATTATTAAATATCAACATTATGCACTGAATGTTCCACTTTATACACATTTCACCTCACCTATTCGTCGTTACGCTGATGTTCTTGTTCATAGAATGCTTGAAGCTGCTTTATCTGGTGGTATGTATAAATATAGATTAAATTAGAATATGATGTTTTTACTTTTAAAGGATAAAGGATAAATTGTTCTTGTTTTCTTAAAAAAATTTTTTTTAGAGAGGAAATTTTATATTGATAAAGATAATGTACAAAAAACAGCCAGTTATTGTAATGTTAAGAAAGAAGCAGCAAAGAATGCACAAGAGCAAAGTAGTCACTTATTTTTATCTGTACTGCTTAATAACTTGACAGTTCAATCTGGACCAGTTATTCGTGAAGCAATAGTTGTAGGTGTGAAAGAACATGCATTTGATGTTCTAGTGCCTTATTTTGGTATAGAAAAACGGGTGCATTTGGATCAATTGCCTCTAGAAAAATTCATCTTCAATAGTGAAAAGATGGAGTTAACATTGGTTTGGAAACAAGGCATTAGCTCTTTAGAAGCAATTTCTGATGACTATGTATTTGTTGCTGAAGAGGAAGAAGAGGGCTTGGAGGTTGATGAAGAGGCACTGCTTGCAGATGATAATGATGATTATCATTATGAAATGATGGATGTGACCAGTCTTCCAATTGAGGATGAACATCGACTATTTGATAATAATTCAGGTGAGGATGATGATGGATATGATGAAGAAACACAAAAAACTGATGCTGTTACTAGTGAAAAAGAAGCTACTACTACTTCTAATAATAATAATAAAAATAAAAATACTGAAAATGACGGAAATGATACACAATCTTCCACCACATCTGTCAATGAGAAATCTTATGTTAAAGTAGAACATACTAATATTACTACTAACAATATTACTGTTTCATCACCTGGAGAAAAAGTTTCATTGTCAACACCAACATCAACATCAGCTAATAAAACCTCTTGCCCAGTCACTACTTCTTCTGCAACAGTTATCAAACAACCAGAAGTGTCAAAATTATCTATTGTTTCAGATCCTACTATTCCTAATTCTCAAATAATCCGAGAACTTACTCATCTTAATGTTATCATTACTGCTGATTGTAAAAAGAGTCCACCTGTCATCAAAGTTTTAGCTGTCAATCCTTTTGCTTAAAACTTTACTTTTACTTTAATGTAAATGGTTTTTTTTTTTAATTAATTGTTATTTTATTATTATTTTTTTATTTTTTTTTTAAACATTAAAAACCAAAAAAATTTCAAAAAAAAAATCTTATATTTATTTTTGCATACAAAAGATTTCTTTTTACTAATTATATAATATAGAAATTACATTAATTCCTACTCCACACCTTTTTTTAATTTATTTTTTTTATATAAGAATATTTTATTTTAATAAGTAATTTATAATATATAGATAATTTTGATTGTAACAAGTACGTTTTTAATTTTTAAAAATTTTTTTATGGTTAGTTATTATTTAATATAAATTTCAATAAAAAAAAATTTTTTTTTGACTAACTTTACTGGTAAATAACAGATTGCAAAAAAATTAATCATTATATAACAGGGTTATCTTGGGAAGAGATAATGAATATGTATGATTGCTTAAAATTTGTAAAAGACATTAGTGCTGATCCATTTATTTTAACATATAGTGCACCTGACAATAAAATCACCTGACTTTGGAACTGAGAACAAATCAATGAAGTTCAAACCAAATTGAATCACTCAATTTTGATTCAATCAGTTCAAATTTGAATTGAATTGAATTCAAATTGTACTTTGATTCAATTCAATTTGATTTGAACTGATTTGAATATTAATATATAATCTGATTCGAACTGATTTAAATATATAAAAAATTAGCGTAACATTTCAAATTTCCACTATGCCGAAGCAATTATTACAACAAATAAAGTTAAAATTTGTAAAGTTTTAATCTTTGCATATTCGTATGTGTATATGTGTACGAATGGGTATATATTTTTTGAAATCCAACCAATCCAAGGATCTACAACAAGGGTTAACCTTAACATTCGAGGCGTCGATCCTAAGGTTAAACCTCTTTACAGTCAATCTACCAATATTAATTAAAATTGGGGTTACACATAACCACCCAACCACCTAGACACCCTGTTAAAAGGTTGAACCCCATGTTTTGAGAATATAAATCCTTGGATTGGGTGCAGAAATTGTTAGAATGTATAAATTTAAAAAATTTAAAAATAAATCTTTGGATTTTTGTTTAGCAGAGTTGACTTGTTTATTACTTGTAATTGTATTATTTGTATTATGTATGAGCAAATTCTTTAAAACAAGAAATTTTTTTTGCATGGGATAAAGTGTATTGGGGAAAGATTTTTTGTACTTTATTCATGGTTTTAAATAAATATGATTTAAAAGAAAGTTGATAATTTACTTAGTGCATGCCCAATCAATCAATTAATAGGCAAATAAAGAACCAACCAAAAAGTACAGATATATATTAATGTTTTAAAATAATTTTATTTATAAAATAGCATATTTTTGATTAATTGGATTCGTTCAATAGATTTAAATAAATCTAATTAACTTCGGAGAGATGTGGCAAAACCAACCTAAAAAAAATTAAAATTAAAATTAAAAATCGTCAACTGGTTTATTCGTTTCAAAATTAAATAAAAATATATGATTATTTACCCTATCATTGCCAAGGTCATAAATGGTGTAAAACTTACGAAGGAAAGCATCACCAACTAAAATAAATAATTGTTAAGTATAAAGAAAAATTATTTCAACATTTTTTTTAATAGAAAACTTACTAATCCAAATGGGGCCAAGAGGTTCTGGAATATCAAGACCCATAAAAGCAGAAATACATTGTCCTTGAGCTATAGACAACAATATATAATTAATTTGTTAATTATTAATTCATTTAATGTTTGTTGTTGAACAAAACTAAAAGTATTTTTACCTTGTAAAATATATTCGCTTCCGCTCAAAGTGAACATTTTCCCGTTGAATTGCATGCTGAAATCGGGTAAAGAAGGAATTTTATTGCATTCAATAACATATTGTCCAGCAAAATTTTTCTTTGCGCCAATCTGTTTGTTGATTAATTCAGCAATAACACTTGGAATTGCCAAAAGTGAGGTACCGGTATCAATAGCAGCACCGGTATTTTCCAACTCAACGTCTTCACCACCAAAAATGACTCTTTCAAGTTTAACTTCCCAATAAGCTTTTCTTTTAATTGGGGCCCAATGGATATCGCCGGTGAAATGACTTTCATCCACACCACCAAACACCAATTCACCACCATTTTCATCCCCACCATCATTAATCCAAAATGAAAAGATTGGTTCGTCAACCAATCCACGATTAACCATATGGTAAAATGGTGGAACTACACCGTTAACAGAAATTCTGTCATAGGCTTTATAAAATGAGAGAAATTGGAGGTAGCAGGAAAGAAGTTTAATAGGAATAAATGAAATAAAAATATATACATGTATATATAATAAATATATATGTATGTATGTATATATGTATTTAATGTATACACGTACCCAATCCAAAAATCCCATCAAATCGGCCAAAAGCAAAAGCAAACCCGGGTTCTTTAACAGATTCGCCAAAATCTAGGTTCGTGATTTCAATATCGCCAACTGTTAAAACATCCTATTTTTCGTCACCCCCAAAAAATCAAATTAAAATTATTTATGTTAATATAATAAACATATATATAAAAAAAAAAATCATAATAAATGATATTTATGCACTCACATTACTAATAATCCCTTCTAAACTTCCAGAACCGTATCTTATAGCAAATTTAGTACCATTCGCCTTGTAGGTTTGTGATTGGGTGGAGTCATAACGACGATGAAGGAAACATGCTATAGAGGTGCAGTGTGTGGAAGGTACCCAGAAATTGGAAGACCCAGTGTCGAATATGACAGTGAAAGTTTGTGGTGGTTCACCAATTGAAACTTCACCGAAATACTATTTATACATATAAAATAAGGTTTGCGTGTATATCAATGATTTTGAATGATTCAATGATATCTTTATGCAAATCATAAATTATTTTTCTTTATGATCATCATCAATGACAATGATTTATCATATATATATATATATATGGAATATAAATAAACGTGTGTGTGTTTTTTTTTTGAATAATTAAAGGAGTATAATTTAAAGAATACTATACTATAACTAATTCTAATTCTAATTTTAATTAATACAATAATAATAGTAACTATAACAACAAACAATAATAAAACTGTTAATTATTACTACACAATTTTTACCTGAGCGTTCATGAAATTAGTCAAAGGGAGTCCATGCTCAACGTTTCCATTAGCATCAGGAACGAATAATTGATTGGCTTCATTAACGGGACGAGAGTTCCCAAAATATTTTTGGGTCAAGTACTCCCCTGTTTGTGAATAACGATGTAATTTCTCTGAGGAAGTCTCTGGAATTTTTTTTAATTTCATCCTATATAGTAATAATTAATTTTGTTTATATATTTTTGAAGAGGAATAAATTACAATTACAATACGCAACACATACTTATGGATACCAGCATCAGCAAAAATGCTGAACAAAGCGATCAAAAGCAATGTCAATGTTACTTTCATTGTTTTTTTTTTAGAAGGAAAAAATTTATTTAAAAATAATTGTTATTATTGTTATTTTATTTTATTATGTACCTACCCATAACCTTATTTATCATTCTCTAATCATTTTAATCTGTTTACAAATTAGCCAAATTTTCCATTCCTACCGGAGATCTCCGAGAATTATAATAAAATATAGTAATAATAGTTTTGACATCACTTGGGCGATACGGATGATCCATTACGTATTAATGTTACAGATTTGTTTAAAAAAATTTTATTATTTCTATTCTGAACATGGTATTACCAAAGATTTCAGGGATCAAAATTTAGTAATGTGATTATTAAAATCTTCCATTTGTTATCCTCTTGATATATAGAATTACCTCTATATAAAAATAGTTAATATAAGCGAATTTACATCAGATCTACTATGGAACCAAAGAATTATACCACCATTAGAAGTATTTTGAAGAAGGAACAAGGTGAAAAAATTGCTCCTTATATTTTTAAATTAGCAGATACTAAATCCTTGCAAACATATTTAGATAAAGAAAGGATTACCTATGAAATTTACCAAGAAGAAAGAAAAATAATAAACACTAAGAAAAGAACATTAACACAGAACCACAAAGAACCCAGAAAGAAAAGAAAATCAGTAGAGAAATAATTGCTGTCTAATTTTAAAATAATATAATGAATATTATCTTTTAAAAATTAAAGATATTAAAAAAAGATTTGGTAAAAAAGAATTTTATGAGTTGGTTTGACTTGCTTAGATTCTACTTAATTATTTGTTCTTGTTTCTTTTTAAGTGAATTTTCTCATCTTTTTTGCAAACTATAGTAGTTTGTTCTTTTTCCATGGTAATGCTGGCAAAGATTTGTTGGCTAAATGTAGTTCTTGTTTTAGTTGCTGGATTGCTTGGGCCTGTCAACTTATCTCCTGATTCTTAGCTGCTTCCAATTGCTCTAATTTCTCAGCTAATTGTCTTTCTCTTCATTCTTTGGCTAGGTGAGTTTCAGCATCTAATCTTGCCTCTTTAATTTTTTGCTTTCAATTTTCAATAATTTCAATAGTTTTAATTATTTTGCTATTCCTCTCTTCATTTCTTAATTGCTCAATGAATTCTTCTTTTCAATTATCTTTATCTATTTTTATTTCTTCATCAGTTGGCTCATAATATTTTGAAACTACTTCAGTAATGTTATTTTCAAAGTTTTTATAATCCTTTTCAATTCTTTTTTTTTCCTTAGTTAATTTATACTTTTCTAATTCTAAGTTTTCTTTTTGTAATCCCAATCTTTTAATTATTAAAGTATCAATTATACCATCTTTATATTCATCTGTTACTAGACATCTATTCTTAATCAACTCCACTAACATTTCTTCTAGTTCTTCAGCTTTCTTTTTTAATTGTATTAATTCTTGATTATTTTCAGGTGCTGGAATTCCTTTTACTACCATAATATATTATTTTAATAAAATTTTATATTGGTTTTGGACAAGTAATGTCTTTAAATTCATCTCTTACAAATGGTCGAATATTATTATAAAGGTATTCTTGCCTTTTATAATCTAAAGGAGGTGGTGTTAACACTAAATAGATAAAGATTTAATTTCTTCAAAAATATCTGCTTTCTTGGTTTTCAATAAATTGAACTCAACAAAAGGTCCATTAGCAATTTCTTGAACTTTCACTGTACCAAAATTAGATGCTTCAAAAAGAAAATGTTGATACTTTTGTAAACCATTTAGTTTCTTAAAATAAATTCCCAAAATAGCTTTAAGATCTAAATATTGAAAACCTTTTCCACCTTCATAACATTGAGTTTTATTCAATCCTGCTGGACTAGACTTTTTTATCACTTCAACCACATGGCCCACACAATCTACTCTTGTTCTTCTATAGAGTTTTTTAATCAAGCCAAAACTACCATCACACTTGAATTTGGTATGTCC